GTTTTGCCAAGAAAATAATTTTTCCTGCCAGGGCAGGCTTTGGGAGAAGGCTTTTCTAGGGCTTGGGTCCAGTGTGTGTCTCCTCTGTGTGTAAGGCAGGACCTGGGGTGCAGGCCATGTGCAGTAGTGGTGGCATTAATCCAGCTACTGACCATGGCTTTGGTGCTAATCCTAGTCCCACTCCTTGCACTTGGGACTCCTAAGGTACAGGTGTGTCCCTGTAGGCTAGACAAGCTGAGCTTCTGGGAGACTGAATTCTACCCTAGGCCACCATTTATGCCTGAAATACAAGGGGAGGACAGGTACCAGAAAGGCCATAAAGCTGGCCTGCCTACCTTGTGACAGGGAGGTCATGTTGAAGGAAAGGGACATACACAGACCCTTTGGAAAGTCTAAAGTCATATCCATAGAGTAGTGATACGGAATTAACATGGAGTCCTCCCAGGGTTCACCTAATGATCCATGGCTTGAATTCTCAGGATTATGTGTCCTTACCTATGTGGTGTTTTCTGTTAGCAGCAACCCATCTGTGTGACAACTGTGGCACCATTCTCTGCTTGTCCCTGAGTAAGAGAGTCCACCAAGGAGAGGACATGCCTGGCTGACCTTTTCTTCTGTGTGTGATTCCTTCCTCCAGTCCTAGGAGGGAGGCCACTACTCACTGATGAGTGACAAAGCATGGGTCAGGGGATGTGGCAAGCCTCATTTACTAGGGAGCCCCTCAGCTCACAGAAGAGGAGAGCCCCGTCCTAGGGATTATGATTTCTTGTCAGCCGTTGAGAAGGGTAGCCCCAGCTTGGGGGTTCTCCATGGGAATGGGTTCTGGAAGGGCTGGAAGCCAGGACATGGAAATTGAAGTCAGAGCCTGGCCTAGGGTCCAGGCCCTGGGACCCTAGCCTGGTACTGTAGATGGGAGTATTGGCAGGTGGCAGTCAATTGGCTGGGGTCTTCCTGTTTCTGGGTCTGGGTGCTTTGTCTTGGATTAGGGCTTAGCTACTGGGGCAGCAGCAGGCCTGAGGTAGGCGTTCCCTGGCACCCCCACTTCCTCTGGCACCCTGTAAACAGGATCTGGACAGTGCAAGGACAGATGGCTCCCTTCAGGCTGGCAGGGGCTTGGGGTCCCTGGGAAGAGGTGGCGCCAGCCTGGAGAGCCCAAGGCCGGAGGGGCTGGTAGCTGGCCTTGGCAGCAGTCACGGAAACCGCATGGTTGGAGGCCTCCTTGGGAGCAAGTGAACATTGTCTCAGTGGTTTCTCTTTAGCCTCAGTGGATCAGCCTCAGGGTTCTTGGGCACAACAGCCTAGCAGCTTCCGCCCACCCCTCTGGCCAGGCCCTGCTGGCAGCTTCCGCCTGCCTGGGCTGTGAACCTGGCCTCTGTTCAGCTTCTCTAGCTCATCGTTGCCCACTCCGACCTTACCACACCCCCTAGGGCCTCCTGGATTCCCACATGCCTGGCCCATCCCTTCCTGCCTTATCCTGTAGCCCTTGTCCTCCACTCTTGGCTCCTGCTAGATCCTCTTGCCTGCGTGTAGTCCCCAGTTCTGGCCTGCCTCCCTCTGGAGGCCTTAGGTACATTACAAGGTCCTGGACCCTTAGCACTCTGAGCCACCAAATGTACCATGACACTTCAGGAAAAGAGACAGGCCTCAGATCAGCCCTGAGGCCTGGTTCCTTCCCTTCCTTAGCTGAGTAGTGGCTGTGGTTTCCCCATCACCTTCTGCCTCCTGATGCTTTTGCCTCTGTGCTTCATGTCACCCAGTGTGGCTTCGGGAGGCTCTTATGTCTCAAGTCCTGTTGGAGCTCGCAAGAGCAGGGGTGCAAACTCATCCTGCTGGTGGCCATGGTGTCTGTGACGGGCAGTGTGCTTGCTTGGAAAAAGAGCTGCATAGTGCAGTGACACAGCCTCCTGCCGTGTCCCAAACTCTGCTGACTCGGCAGCTGACCTTGGACAAGTTGAGCCTTTAGCCTCCCTTTCTTCAAGTAGAGCTTGTGTTTCTTGCAAGGGAGCTGTGAGAATTAAGATGTCTGATACAGGTGAGGTGGATTTGACCTCCGGCCCCCTCTCCTGAGGTGTGGAGCCAGGTGTGTCTTATCTGCCTCTTGGCTCTCCTGGTTCCTCTGTAAATAGAACTCATTCAAGCACTGGCCTTGTGGAATTGGAGGGTGCCCTGTGACGTGAGCTGTGCTCAGTCCCTGAGGTCACCTTGTTTCCATGCCCCTACTCCCCTCAGTAAAGGATCAGGGATGAGTCTGTGGTGGACAAGTACTGGAATATCTGTGAACTGCAGCAGACGTGGTCCCCAGTTCACACAGGGTGGTTGGCTGAGGCACTTGAATGGGGCTGGCTCTGGGAAGGGTGACTCCACATGGCACTCAGTTTCCCCAAGGAAGGCCGTGTTTCCTTCAGCAGCAGGAATCAAACTTTAGAATGCAGGGATTCCTGGTAGATGAGGGCCCACGTGGGATTCTGAGGTGAGGCGTGGCAGGAGAAGGTGGGATAGGAGCTGGTTGCAGGATATGGGCAGAGACAGAGAGGAAGTTGGGGATATAGTGTGGGCAAAGGCACTGGGGTGGAAGATAGCCTTGGTGCTGACGAGTGGGATCCCAGAAAGCAGGCTAGAGCAGAGGAAACACTGGGGCTGAAGTGGCCCTGCTTCCACAGGCCAGTGAGGGCACTGATGCCTGCAGACCGTCAGAAGTCCTGGGCCAGTCAGGACTATCGACTTGGTCCACATTGGTTAACTATGGGAGGGCTCTTGTGGTAGAAGGCTCAAGTTTTGTCCCGAGGCTGTAACATGCCTGTAATTTCGCTTGGTGCAGCAGAGTGCCTGTGGGTCTTGGCGGTCTCCCAGAGACGGGCATGCATCTGCTGGATCCTAGCACCCACCCAGAGCCCAGAAGGGCTGGCTAGGAGGCAGAGGATGCACACTGCTATTTCCTGTTCTTAGACCTCAGCTCTCTGTGTTTCTATAAACGGCCTGCCTTCTTCTCAGCTTCTGAGCAAACACATTCAGCATGCAGCAAAATGAGATCTCAAGTCTGAGCGGGGGATCTGTCATGGCCTGTGCCTGTGTGTATGCCTTAGCCTGCCGCCACCTGAGACAGACCTTGCTTCTTCAAGGTCCTGGGCTGCTTTCCCCATTCCTTTTCCAGACATCCCACCTGTATTCAGGCCCTAGCTTTGGCATAGAAAGCCTGTCAGGAGCTCAGACACCTTCCCACCTCCCTGCAAAGGGTCATCTGCTTTTCAGGGACCCTTGTCAGCTCACTTTACCTTTTCAGGAACCTGTCAGACTGCCCTGCCCTCTGCAGTCCTACATAGTGACCATTCCTGCTGCTCCGGGCTTCTCCTGTTTGGACCTAGCTTGGTCTATTACTCTCCCCTGTAGCATCTCCCTTAGGTGGTGACTTTGACCATCCCCACTCTGTGTTCAGTCAGCTGTCCTCCCTGTGCACATGGCTGTTTACTTTCTGGTGTGAGGAGGTGACAGTACTGGCTACCTGCTTTCTCAGTAAGAGTCTATGACTGGTCCTCTACCCTTCCTGCTGACAGCCAGTTCCCTGGGTTCCCTCTACTCTTCCAGCCCTCGGCCCAGCTCTCTCTGAGGCTAGGGAATATTACATTATTAGCATGGTTCCTGGATGTGTTGGGCCAGTGTAGGGGATGGGTCCACACAGGCACCCAGAGCAGGGGACCCTTCTCAAGAACCTGAGGCCCTGGTCTCCCTCCTGGCTGCCTACCTGGCTCCCGTCTGCTTAGGTTCCTGTAGCTTCCGCTGTTTACAGACATATTTGTCTGACTGATGTTTTGTTGGAGTCTTGCGCACGCAGCTTAATACTTTAAAGTTATACATGCAGAGAGTTTAGGGAGTAAACGAGCTCTACAAGATTAATTAAGAACAGCGTAATCCCCAGTGCCTTTCTACTGCCTCCCCAGAGGAGCTCCTTTCAGGAGATTCCTTTGATATTTATCTTTTCTCTAAATGATGTGCTGTATTGCTACTTGATTTAAAAAAATCATTTAGGCATTATTTATTGACTTGCAAGATGAGAACTGCAGTTTCTATGTCTCTCACCGGCATGCCCACTCCCACACCCACTCCTTCACAGGCAAGTTCTCATGCAGTGCACGTGTGCATGCATGCGCGCGCGTGTACGCGTGTGCACACACTTAACATACAGCATGCAGAGACACACCTGTCTGCCATTCTCCAGCTTCTGTCTCACTTGTGGTCTTCCCCAGAGTTTGTAATGGCCTCTGTGTGTGCAGATTTTATGTTCTTCTCAGGGACTTAATGGAGTCCTTCTTCCAGTTCTTTCTGTCTCGTGTTCTTGCCCCTCAAGGGTCTGGTCCTCCTTTCATCTTCCTGAAATCCCTCCAGAAGCTTCTGCAGGACCTGTTCAGGAAGAGTCCACCTTGCTTAGACACTCGTTGCCCTGGTTTCCCTTCATCTGAGCCAGCCTTTTGTTAGCCACTGGATGAAACCTGCCACTAAGTCTCACGGGGTTAAAGGGCCCTGGTACATTTCTCTGGGGCTGAACACAATAGGACTACGTACAGCAGACAAAGCCCCTGGACCTGGCCATTTCTCTGGTGTGACATAATAGGGCTGGCTGCAGGGCCAAAGTGTCTGCACCCAAAACCTTTCTCTGCCGGTTTCCAGCTGTGCAACGTTATCCCTCCTGTGTGCACATTTGCCTGGTCAGAGCCGAGAGGCTGAGCCTGTGAGCAGCCAACTCAAAGGCCTGCATGTGCACTGTGTACTGACTCCTTCCTGCCACCATTCCTGCTTTCTTTAGTGAGCTAGTCTTTGCTCCACTTCTGGCACACACACCTCCCCTGCCACCCCATGTCAGGGGTCTCTCCCAAAGCAGTCCTGCCATAGGTACCACTCTGTGTCTTACTTCTCAACTGAGCTTCTGGGCTGTCTGGTCCCTTGTCCCTCACACCAACAGTCGTATCACTGTTTTCCATTGAGATTGTTTTCTGTCACTTCTCCAGAAACATCTAGAAAGCAAGGTTGGGAAGAAAACAAAGATGAAGGCAGCCACTGGCACCTGCCTCAGAGCTCTGAGGAGCCTGAGAAACCCAGGGAGGCTCCAGAGGATGATGTGGCGACTGACGAGGAGTCCGCAGAGCCTGCAGTAGTCCCAGAACAACAACAAAAAACAAAAATAAAAGGACAAGTCTTATGGGAGGATGCTCTTCAAAAGATGTTGGATCTCTTCCTTTCACTTCTGCATCTCAGCCAGTGGCCTTCAGGGTCAAAGGTCATGCCTGATGAGCCATGGGGCAGCCAGTGCTGATGACAAGGAGATGTGCATTGGCCTGGAGCTCCTGCAGAAACAGGTTGATACCGAATAGAGCCGGCTCTAGGCCTGCTGGCTGTCCCCCAGCATGGAGCTGTTGTAGATGCAGCCTGCCTGCTGTCTACAAGCACAGAAGTTGAGCCCGGCAAGCCTGGGGTGGCAGACATCGAGGGTGGAGAGGTATGTGGCAGCAAGAAACTCATATAGAACCTGCCCCCAGATGTCCTCCCTAGCTGCTGCATCACCCTGACTCCCAGCAGCAGCAGAATGTCCGAGACCCTGCAGTAATCCAGTATGTATGTGCTTCGGAAACCAGAACCCTTAAACCAGACCAATGGTTCATTACAAAGACTATTTGCATGTAAAGCTGTTGGAGAATTAAAAAAAAAAAAAACAACTGTGTGACACATTGCCGTTTCCAAAGCCTCTGCAAGGAACGGATATGCGATGGAGAGGTGAGAAAGATGGAGGAACAGAGCCATGAGTGTGTGGTGGAGAGAGGTGGAACTAGAGACTCGACAGCAGTGACAGGTGTGAGAGAAGATGCAAGTGGACGGGGGCGGGGTGATCATGTTGTCGCTGAGTAGCACTGACAGGGTGGTTGTGCAGCAGCCCGGAGCTTGCGCTCACTCAGCCCCCAAAAGCCTGCCAAACTGCAAGCTCGCCCTGATTCTGAGCAACGACAGGATGTTCTACATGAACAATGGTTCATTTTCTGGATTGGACCTCCTCAGAAGACCTCTGTGGTCTGTGCTGTCTCTGGAGACCATGTTGATATCTGTGGTCCCCTGTTATATTGAAGCCGAAGGGTCTTGTGAATGCCTGTGGTCTGGGCTGCCACTGGAGGCCATGTTGGCATGACTGTCCTGTGGTGCCATCTGAGGCTAGGTTGATGTCCATGATCTGTGCTGCTGCAGTGGGCCATGTCTGGGTCCATGGTCCTGCCGCAGCCGGGGGTTGGGTTGATGTCATGTGCCGCTGCCTGGAGTCATGCTAATGTCCATGAGGTGGGCTGCCTCCAGGGACTGTGCTGTTATGTCCCGCATTGAGCCAGAAGCCATGATGGTGCCTATGGCCTGTGCTGCAGAAGAGATCCGTGTTGATGTACGTGGTGTACTGCCACCAGAGACCATGCTGTGGCACATGCTGACGTCAGAGACCATGCGGATGATTGTGATCCCTACTATCACCAGAAACGATGTGGAAGTTCATGATCCATGTTCCCGCTGGCTTATAGGGCAAGGAATAGACATTTATAGTGGTATCAATGACTGTGGACTCACAGTTGAGAAAAAGGGCCATAGAAGGCTTTAACCCCCTTTACCCCTCATCTCCCCAAAAGTAACAGCCTAGACAGGGAACCATTGAAGAGAACTTTTAGAAACTGTGATAAAAATGCTGAAGTATAGCTCTCCAGAGTTGATGGCTTTTTGTGAGGGTATGGGTGGGAAGGACCCAGTTTTCTTTAAGGGGCTGGCCACTGGAAGTTTGATCATGCTTTAGTGAGTATATGGGCAACAAAAATTGGACTTCTTCCTTTCCCTCTCCATTCTCCTCCACCACCTCGTCCTCCTCTTCCTTTTCTTTCTTCCAGGAGTGAGTCCTCAAGGATAGAGGGCAGACCTGGGAGGACTCCGTGAGTGTGATGGGGTGCATGATATGAAATTTCCAGATAATCAATAAAAATGTTGTGTGGGGAACAAAAAAAGAAAGTAGAGGGAGACCTTATGACAACCTCACGTAGTTCTCAGGCTACAAGGCCTGAGGGGCCTATAGGGAGAGAGGAGTCCCGAGTGCTCTCGGGGGTCCTAAGCCCTTCCTCTGCCAACTGCCTCCCACCGTGGGGCCGTCTTTCTTCCTGGGCTGCAGGCAGAGCCGTGCAGCCTGCCCCGGGAGCAGATGGGAGTGCCTGCATATCCCGCTACTGTTGTCACGAGGTGCTGTACAGACAGCATACACACCGGGTGGTGTTAACAGTGATAGGCTTATTGTTATTTACTTCAAAATAAACTAATGTGCAGTTGAAAAGAAGCCTGTTTTAGTTTTGAACAGGGTAAATTCTGTAAGCCAGAGCTTTCGGGGTTTCTGATTCTCAGCACTGTCATGGGCCCCAGAAGCTGAAACGGTTGGAGCTTCTGCTGTGTACTTGTCTTGCTAGGCTGAGCCCAGGCCCGTGTATGTGGTGGATATAATGGGGGAGCCTGTGGAGACCTGGCAATCCAAAGTCTGACTTGAGAGGGCCTGCATGGGTAAGGAACAAGGAGAGCAGGGCTCCCAGTGTGGGTAATGTGTATATATGCTTACATTTATTTATTTTGTATAGAGGAGGAGGGGCTGTGAGCCACAGAATTTACGTGGAAGTTAGAGGAGAGCTTGCAGGAGTTGGTTCTTTCCTCCTCCTAAATCTATTCCGCCGTTTTAAATTACGAGTGTACGTGTTTGTGCATGCAGTGCAGGACGGACCCGTGCAGGACAGAAGAGGGCGTTGGGTCCCATGGAGCTGTTGTTACCGACAGTTGTGAGCCACCTGATGTGAGCGCTGGGTACTGGGTTTGAGTCCTTTGAAAGAGTAGCAAGTCAGCTTAGCTGCTGAACCATCTCTCCAGCCCCTTCTGCTCTGTCATCTTTGTAGAGGTAGCAGAGAGCTTCTTCCCAGAGTCCTTGAGAGAGAAAACAGGGCATACCCTCACCTTGGCCCTGTTTCACTGTTCCCATATGTTCACAGGTAGAACAAATAGCCACCTACAGTGACCATTTGGTGGACATCAAAGCTCTGGGGTTGTTGAGAAGCCTGAGATGGCCCTGAGAATGGGTACAGAGGAGCCAGGTGGGCCTGAATGGACCTGAGTGGGCCTGTGTTCCGAACCTGAACTCTTCCTTCCTTTCCTCTTTCCTCTCCCCATCTCTCTGGTATTTTGTGTTTTCCCAGTTTAGCAAGGAGGCTTCCTGCCTGCCCGGCCCATCAGAAGATGTCTTCCAAGTCCATCACAAGCAGAGGTGGCTTGGGGAGCCATGGCTCTTTTAAGGGACCCTCATGAAAAGGCTGCCAGGCCCTAGGCAATGGCACAGCAGACACCCAGAGGTGGGAAGGTGGTCTCAGTGTGTGGTCTCCATCAGGTCACACCCCTCAGAAGAGTGACAGACACCAGTGTCTACTGAGGCCAAGGTAGGTACTCTTGGACAGAAGGATAAGGGCTGCTCTGTGTGGGTGCACTGAAGAGTTGTCATTTCTATGAGGCATGGTACAGGTGTCCACTGTCACACTCCTGGAATGTTCAAGGTGTTTGGGGGTATGACTGAGTGACGGATGGTTTTGGCAGGACCTCCTGACAGCAGTGGAGCAAGCTGTGCTTTGCATGGCATAGACCTAGGAACACTGTGGCCCTTGGGTGATAGGCTGTTCTCAGGGGTTGCGTATTTGCAAAGCTAGGATCTCCCTGTAGATATGTGAGTTTGTGATTCAGAGTCCCATGCCTTTTCTGCCATCTTCCCCCTGCTGTGGGGCTGGCCTGGAAGTTGCCCTGCTCCATTTGGGTCTATATGAGGCTGTGTTATGGCTGCCTCATCTGGCAGAGTTCCCTCATCTGGCCCAGCCTCTGATGAGGGGAAGCTTCCTGTCTTGGAGTAGGAAGGACAATGAATTTGGGGTCTACTTGGGCTCAGCTTAGTGGCTGCTGCAAGTTAGGGGGTCCTGTGTCTATGTTGGGCCTGGCTCCATTGAGCTCAGGGTCCTTCTGGATTATCATCTCCCCTCAGCTCTCCCTAGGATCTCTGCAGCTAAGTGAGGACCCCCGCCCCACTGGACTATTCTACTTCCTTCTTTGTGCCTCCCTAGCTAAGGGTACCTGGTATCTACCTTGACTGTGCTGGGGTGAACAATGTGTCAGGGAGGACAATGGTTGCACGCACTCTCTTCATGGTGCTACTACCATTTAGGGCCCCCTCAACTGGGACGAAGTGTTGTCTGTGCACTGGCCACCCCAGGCTTTCCTTCCCACAAGATTACGGGGTACTTGGTCTCCTCCCACCTGGATGCCTTCTCTTTTTCTCTGATAGGTTTCTCTGTATTCCAGGCTGGTCTCTAGGTGTTGGGTCCTGAATAGAGAGGAAGCAGGTGAACCCTGGACCTAGGGGCTGTGTTGTTGGGTGGCTTTCTGAGATGGCATCACAAGCGTGTTGAGACCAGAGACAAAGACTGAGCTGCCTGGGTGGGAGGGGTCAGAAATGGGGAGGAGGGCCAGCGCTGAGTCCCATGCTTTCCTCCATGTGGCCAGGCAGCAGGTGAGGGCTTAAGCGGGATACAGGAGAGCTGGATCTCAGGGGTGTTAGGTTACTGTGGTCTTGGGCTGCTGAATGTCTAAAGGGAACATACATATATGCAGTATGTGCTCATTGGATGCTCACAGTTCACTTTCATGGTTTTAAAGATGGGTGAGCTGCACACCCTATCACTTGCCTTTTCCAGCCCAGCTCCTGCGTCCCTAGTCCTGAATCCTGTTTCCCCCTGCTTGCTTTTTTCTTAGTTTGTTTCCGTAATGGTGCCTGGCTGGATTTGGCATGCTTTACGGAAATGGGCTTGGCTACCACAAGGGTCTGATTTGCTGCCTTCATTCTTGTTCTGATGCCTGTTGGTATGATGTGGAACCTTCACGCTTTAGCTCTGTCTGTCCTCTGTTTGGCTGTGGGCATACTAGGGCCACTCTGCTCATTCCACACGCCGGGGACATTAAGTGGCTTTCTGTTCCCTGCCACTTCAGCTCCTATTGCCGAGCCCACAAAGGTGAGAAGGGATGCCCCTTGAAGTCCCCTCAGGCCATTGGTGGTGGGCTTGGGATTGTATGTCCACTGGTGAACACGGGGGAAATCAATGTTCTTGTCATTCTGTCTTCAGTCTTTGCATTGTCAGTCTTTTGTCAGGTCCTTCAATAAAGCCCTGTGCAGTGTTCCATAAAGATCTTATACATCATTTCTTAATTCAAAAATTTATAAAAGTGGTTTGTTTTTTTTTCTGTTATTAGTGGGAGGGTTCTGCATATCAAGTTTTTTCAAGTGTTTGTTGCTGGTATGCACACATATTTAGATTTTTTTGTGTGTGTGAAAAGCAAAATCTGGAGTTCTTTCTTAATTTAATGTTTTGTTTCTTAACTTTATAAATATGGTAACTCTCACATACAGAAAAGATTTACAGGGATGTAGCAACCCCCTAGTGCCCTCCCCCTTTGTCCCTTGTTACTGCCATCTACTCCTGATTACTTGGTCAGGTCTCATTTTCTCTCCTTCATCTCATCTGCCAACATCTCCGCATGTCTTTATGAGGTCAGTGCCAGCCAGCTCTGCTCAAAAGCCACTTGCTGAGGCAGGCACTGAGCTCCCAGGATTGCTGTGGGAGGCAGGCCCGTCAGACCACACATCTTGAGCTCTGGGTGTTCTTCCACATCTCCACGCTCGCCTCCATCTTTTTTTTCCTTTTGCCCTTGACGTTTATTTGTTGAAGGAACCAGCTTTTCCTGTGGAGTGTAATTGAGTTCATACCCAGCCATTTTGCTGAAGTCTTTTTTATGAATTGCAGTAATTTGTCTGTGAGATCTTTTGAGTTTGCTCTGAAGATGTTTGTGAACAGTGCGGTTTTCTCTTTCCTTCCAGCAGTTTCACCTGCTAATGCTTTCCTCTCTTCCTGAGCTGGCTGGGGACTGTTTTAGGATGCTGGACTGACACGGGGACCTCATGTGCCCCTTGATAAGCCAATAAGATACAGTGAGTGGACAGCGGTTGGTCTCATTGAGTCTTGCAGTGTAGCTGGCGGTGTTCCGAGTCCTTACTGGACAGCAGGTAGTGGGTAGGCTGTCTAACGCAGTTCCAGCTGTCCTCTGCACACATAGCTTGTGTAGACACAGGATATGCAAAGTTAATAGATGTTGGTCCTGCCAGTTCCCCTGGTGTGGCATCTGGGATCCACCCAGTGTGTGCTACCAGGGGTTGTGCCACACATTACCAGCCCAGAAAAGGTCACCATTCAAAATCCCAAGTGCATGAGAAAATGCTCTACCATGAATCCGTGTTTCAGCTGTGATGCCAGGCCGCCACGAGACACGTCACTATTGTAGCATAAACTCCTGCTGAGGACTGATTCTCCTCTGAATTCATGGAGGAAGGGATATGTGTTCCTTGGATCTTCCTGAGATTTTGCTCCTTAACTGTTTGCATATAGAAGCATTTGACTTCAGTCAGTCTTCTGTGACTGTGAGCTGTGAAAAGCCATTCACGTATTTTTGTTCCTTCTTGGGGCAGTTTCAAAATGTGTCTGTTTCACCCAGACATTCAGATTTATTGAAGTAAAAGTGTACACTGTGCCTCTCCTTGCCAGTGTCAAGAGGACAGCCCTGTGGACAGCAAGTGCATAGCCTTGACATACCTTGCTCAGATCCCAGTCCCTCTGCTATACCTCTTTGCAGCTTGGTTTCACCTAAAGACCCCTTTCCTGAGGCCTTGTAGGGCGTGGGTGAATTGCGCCCCTCCAAGCCACAGCAGCCAGGGCTTCAGAGAATAGGTTCATTCTCTGTTGGAACATTGGGACTGTGTGCTGGCTTGCTGTTTGTTGGCTTCCAAGGTCACTATTTCCCCCAGCTTCCTTCATGAGTCAGAGTTGAAGTTTTGTTGGTCTCTGCTTATGTTTCTTAGTTTCCCTCCTCCTGTCTGTTGCTTTTTTGACTCCCAGATTGGATGTTTACCTTATGCCTATTCAATGCATGGCTTTTATTCTTCGCTAATAAAAGCATTTAAAGTTATACATTTTCAAAGACTCGCTACTTTAGTTGAATACCACACGTTTTAAAAACATGTAACATTTTACATCTTTGTTCGGTAATAAATACTCCCTGATTCTTACTGTGATTTTTTTTCTTTGACCCAGGAATTATTTTGAAGTGGATTTCATCATATCTAAGAGTATTTGTCTTCTCAGCCATCTTTTAAAAAAATGATTTTTAAGGCAACTGACATGGTTGTGATTCCTTCAGCAAGGGGCTGCCATGTAGAGGAATTGTCATTTCCGTGTGTGTGTGTGTGTGTGTGTGTGTGTGTGTGTGTGTGTGTGTGTAAGGGGGGTTTGTTGGGATGTCTGGCACACCGGGATCCACATTCATGTGTGGCCTTCTGTCCTGGGCGGCCTGGGTAAGACCCCTGTAAGGCTGGCCCTAGATCTGGGGGAGGCCTTCCAGGTAGGAACATATACATGGATGGGAGGACAGCTCCATTCACTGCTGACACTGCAGCCCCTTCAGGCCCAGGTAATTACCTCAGAGTTCTCTCTCTGTGTCCTCCCCCCACCCCTACTTCTCGTGTGGAGTACCCTCAGACAGCAGGCTACAGACAGGGGCTTGTAGTCTCCACTAAGCAGCCTTGTTCCAGCGCACATCACCCTGTCAGCTGTGGTGAGCTGAAAGGCAGGTCTCTGGTTTAGAGAAGCTAAATGTAGACTTACACCAGGACCCAAGAGAGCTGGTGCCTGTGTCCAAAAATGCTGTTATCAGTAAAGTAAACTGAAGACACATCCTCTATATGGTCTGTATCTGTGTTGGGGCTACTGGGACTGGAGCTGGGGAAAACTGCCACTCCTCTGCATTGGGTACCTCACCCCTGCTGTTGGAAAAGTGAGGTTTTTCAGCAATTCTGTAGAATGTGTTGAGCCTGTGCTGGGGTGATGCTGGTTGCCATTAGATAGACTTCTCAGTTTTTGTGCTTTTGTCAGACTGGCAACACCCTGTCCCTGTCATACCTGAGGGTCTTGATCAAAGGTTTTGTTTCGCTCGGAGCCAACTTTTTGAAGAACTGTGGTTGAGGGACTAGTTTGGAGCATATGGTATTCGGAACTCAGTGCTAGCTTTGAGCCCAGTGAGGATGGGAGGCAGGGTGTCAGGGACAGCTTCCTGTAGGAGGAGGACCTAAGTGGAAGCCACTTGTACTGACAGGCTAGAAGTAACCATGGCTGTCCCTTGTCATCCAGCGTGTGCTAGATGTTGGACCGAGTAGGGAATCGGTCATTTTTTTTCTGCCTGCTCCTCCCATGGAAGGCCTGTGCAGGGAAGGATGGGGAAGGCAATCTGGGGCCTTGAGCATGGCCTGGAGTCCGAGGGACAGGGATCCAGGTACTTTCACTCAGATTCCAGCTGTGGAATGGTCTTGGGAAGGCTTCCAGAGATGTGATCAGAGGAGGGAGGCCCCCACTGTCAGGGCCAAGTCAGCTTGGCATCATTAGTCATGTGTAGGAGACTAGGTCAAGGACTGTGACCCATCTGCCTTTACCCAAGATCATCAGGTACCCAAGATTGGGCTGAAATCTGTGTGATGGCTGTCAGGGTCCAGGGTAAGGACTAAGAGAGAAGGATGCCTCTTCCTACATGCTTAGGCTAGTGTCCCGGCTCTTTGACTCCACAGTGAGGGCTGTTGGTGTGTGATTGGCGAGGCACAGGTGCAGTGAGTCCTGTAGAGGTAGTCTGGGTGGGCATCCCTCCTACTTGCGATCCACTCTCGGTGCCCCAGGGAGATTGGCACACAGGAAGGGCAGTCTTGAATGCTTCTTCTCAGTAGGGCTCCAAGTTGCCTCTGCTGTGCTCAAGGTCTTTCAGCGTTGGGTATGGGAGGGCTTTGCCCCTGACTTTGGGAAATCTTTGCCCCTTCTGAGCCATCCCTTGGTAACAGATTCCCTGCCTCCGGGAAGACATGGCGTGGTTAGGGAGGAAGCAACTGTGGGGGCGACAGGGAGTCCAGCTGGACCCCCGTTCTGTGAGTGGGCAGGCTGTGGGTTCTGGGTGGCAGTGAGCTGTGCTGTGCTGCTGAACACATTGTCTCCCAGCTGTCTGCCCTGCTCCCAAGAGCCAGAGAGGAGCCACAGCATTGCCCACCAGACACTTGACATACAGCTGGCAGGACTGTCAGGACAGCAGGCCTGTCTCTGCCAGTCTACTCTGATGGTAACTATGAAGGGCAGGCTGGGACAGTATAAAGCTTTATAAACTATAAAGCGCAGTGGCTGGGAAGTAAAGTGTCTTGCTGTCACCTAGCTAGAAGGTCTTGCACCCAGGTCTCTAGACAGGGGTGGGGAGGGGTGATGAGCAGGAGTGGGCAGCTGTGTACTGACCTGGAAGCTACCAAAGAGGCTTTCCAGGAATTCCCCCACTGCCCACGCCACAAACACCCACCGTTTGGTGCCTTTCCAGGGTCAGGGGTCTCCCCTGAAGGTAGCCAGACATCAGAGCCCACCTTGCCTTCCATGGGCCCAAGGAAAGACTCTGCCAGTGGGCCGTGTGGCTGGATGGCAGCGCCACTTGCGCAAAAAGGAGGAAACTCAACTTTCGCCTTCAGGAGACCGAGGTGTTGGTGTCCAAGGTCAGCAAGCACCCCAGCTGCTGCTTGACTTGGAGCTGCTGGAGGCTGAGCCCACCCACAGGCCCCACGTGTGGAACCCGATCCTACGGGTGAATGCCCTGGGCCACTGCCACCAAGATGCGGTGGAACCCAAAGCACAAGCGGCTGGACCTGCGTGCCATTCTGTGTCAAAAGCGAACCCCAGCAGGTGCCTCTTGGAGTGGGCTCTAGCCTCAGCTCCGGCTCTCACAAGCCGCAGGCCCTGGTGCTCACACTCATGGAGCAGGTGTTGCCCAAGATGTTCTGACGCCGGGCCCTGCTCCCCAAGGGATCCCACCTGGAGCTGCCCACAGGTGAGTCCCCAGGCAGCGCTTCTGCTGGGCCACCACTCTGGCCTCTAGATGGGAGGTGCCACCTTAGCTGCCTAGCTTGTACCTCCTTTCTGGGTGACTTGTTCTTGCTTTTTCTCCTTATTGCCCTCACTACCACTGTGGCCGTTCTCTGCTCCACTCATTTACCTTCTCACGTGTCCATCTGCTCATGATACTTTCAAGATCTGTGACACTTCATGAGTACACTGCCTGGCTAGCTTTTATCTCTTCTGTACCCAGCCCTGGACAGAGCTGAGTTGAGACAGAGTTCCCTCCCTAGGGTCATCAGCCAATCTCTTGGGCTCTGGTACAAGATATTGTATGGGCACAATTGTGAGACACACTCCCTTCAAACAGTGCTCGCTCATTCTAGCTCCTTCTCAGGTGCCGATGCTGTTCTGAGCTGCATCAGATGCTGTTCTGAGCTTGCATACAGACTGCTCAACATCTTGCTGATTTGTCCTCCTGACTTGGCCTCAGAGCTATGGGGAGAAACGTGTGCCGTGGCTTACTTTTTTTTTTTTTTCTTTTTTTAAAGAGATGGAGCCTCATAGTGTGCTGCAGGCTAGCTCAAGTTCCTGGGCTCAGGTGACCCTCTCTCTGCAGCCATCCAGGAGTGGGAGGAACAGGTATGAGAAATGCTGTTCTGGCTCTGCTTGCTTTTTATCCCCAGCAGAGATGTTCTTCCTGGCAGGTCCAGCACTAGAGCATTGGGTAAGTGCAAGTTGGGACCTGGAAGGGAGAGTGTCCTTGGAGCCAGTCTTATATCTTTTAGGCTGAGGGCTCTCTTGGCATCTGACAGGTTGATGAGGTCAACAGAGGTGCAGACTCAAGGCCCTGGGGCCCAGGCACTGGGGAGCCAGGCTGATGTGTGGACATAGATAGTCCCAGGGCTGTGGCAACATCAGGTAAGCTGGACAGAAGGTCCCTGTGTGGGATTCTGGAAGCAGGGGGGAAGGAGATGGTGGTCGTGTGGCAGCTGTCCAGACAGGTCGCAGCACAGGGCTAGACTGGTTCCCAGAATTCAGGGCTAGCTTGGGATGCCTGCTCACTTATCCTTCCACCCCCTGCCCAAGTGAGAGCACAGAGAGGATGGAGATATCCCATGCTGTTGGTTGCAGCAAAACTGGCAGTACTTGAAAGAGGGTCTGGGTGAGCTTGAGCCTGACCCCTTTGCAGGTACTGTAGCAGTCTATTTTATTTGTTTGTTTTTTTCCTCTCTCTCTTTCTGACTCTCTGTCTTCTCCCCTCCTCTCTCCCCCTTCCTCCCTGCCTCTTTCTATTTCTCCTGTATGTATATTTATTCAAGAGTGTGTGTGTGTGTGTGTGTGTGTGTGTGTGTGTATGTGTCCATGTGCATGTGGAGATCTGAGGTTAACCTAGGATGTCATTCTTCAGGAGCCAACCACCTTATTGTTTTTTTTTTTTGTTTGTTTGTTTGTTTGTTTGTTTGTTTTGAGACAAGGTCTCTCATTTGTCCCGGAGCTTGCTGGTTAGGCAGGTTGGCCACTGGTCAGTGAACTTAAGGACCCATCTGTCTCTACTTCCCCAGTGCTGGGATCACAAGTGCCCCACAATTACTGGCTTTTTTATGCGGGTTTTGGGAATGGAGCTCAGAGCCCTTGCGCTTGCACAGTAAGAGCTTTGCCCACTGAGCTGTCTCTCTTGCCTTTTGTTGCATGTCTTTGTTGCGATAATATTCATGTACCAAAACTCTCCACTCTACCCCTCCCTCCTACACTTCTCTTCCCTCCCAGCCTGTGAACGCTAGGCAAGTGCTGTAGCCCTGGGCTGCACCTCCAGCCCTTCCCCACCCCCTTTCCAAATCCAAGTTCTGTGGTTTTCAGTGTTTTCTTTCTTTTGTGTGTCTGTGACCCCTTCTAGCTCCAGCGCATCACTGTCACCCCTTTGGTCGCTGGTGGTAGTCTCTTCCTCTGCTCTAGCCCCCTGACAGCCTGTGGTTTGTCTGTCTTGTCTTTGCTTCTGGTAGTTCCTCTGAATAGTACCTTCCTGCTATGTGCGTGTGTCTCTTCTCTGCAACTCGGAGTTTTACTCTTCTGTCTGAGGAGACAGTGTGCTACAAGCTATGTGGTGGTGCCTTCCTCACTCTGAGTTGACTTATTCCTTTTAGAGTTTAAAGCTTGCTTGATCTTAGCATTATTCTTAGAATGCACCCCAACCTTCTTGCACACATCTTCCCTAATAGCTGTCTGCTTTCCCGGGGTGCATTGTGCCCTGAGTCTGGGCACAGGCTTAGTCCTACCCTCGCCATAGCCTGGGCCCTATACTAGTCATATGCTCTGGCACTCCTGTGGCATAAGTTGACTTGTGCCACCTCTCCATCCTCATTGTCTGCTCCACTCGGTAAGTTGTCCCCGGCCTTCTTTGGTCTTCAGTCCAGTATGCTTTGGAGGCTAGGCTCTCACCATGCCTGCTAGGGACATAAATGTTTGGTGGTAGCGTGCAATGGTCTGCTAGATCACAGGGAGGAGCAGAGCTTGTAAGGGCACGGCTACTGAGGTGCCCAGTGTCTCATGCCAGCGCATGAGCCCATGTAGCGTGAGGCCCTGCCCTATGGCATTCTTGTTTTTGGCTTTTCTTTTTAGCAGATCCCTCTGGGAGCTCACTTCCCGATCCCACAGGCATGAGAGCACCCTGGCACAGATAGCTCCTGAGTTTTGTACAAGGGCTTTTGAGCACTACCCTCTCTCCTCTGGGATACATAAGCATTCTCTCTCCCTGAAGACCGTCATCTGCTTTGCATGTGCTTGAGGCTTCTCAGCTTGGCTCAGGCCAAGAATCTTTCCTCATCTTGATCGCACAGATAGGACCGTGCACAGAGCCCATGTCAGCAGTCGCCTGGGCAAGTACCACTGAGAGCCAGTAGAATCATTTGGTGCCACTCCTTGGTGAAGCTGTTTATGCCTTTTGGAGGTGCGAGTTTGTCATGTGCCTCTGGAGAGCCGGGCATGCCTTGAAATGTGGATAGGGGAATTGCTGCATGCGGCAGCAGGTGGGGACCAGTCTTCAGGATGCTCAGTCACCACATGTTATTAAGCTACATCCCTTTCCTGCTGCAGGTGGAGCACGATGTGTGCTGTCGCGAGACCTGTGAGGGTACCGGACAGTTTTATGTCAACCTGACAGAAACTAAAGTCATCTGAGAGGAGGGAGCCTCAGTTAAGAAAATGCCCCCATAAGATCACATTGTAGGCGAGCCTGTGGGGTATTTTCTTGTGAGCGATGGGGGAGGGCACAGCCCATTGTGGGTGGTTTCATCCCTGGGCTGGTGGTTCTGGGTTCTAGAAGAATGAAGGCTAAGCAAGCCAGAAGGAGCAATCCAATGAGCAGCACCCCTCCACAGCCTCTGCATCAGTTTCTGCCTCCAGGATCTTGCCCTGTTTGATTTTTTTGTCCTGACTTCCTTCAGTGACGAACAGTGATTTAGAAGCATAAGCCAAATAAACCCTTTCCTTCCCAAGTTGCTTTGGTCATGCTGTTTCTTCGCAGCAATGTTAACCCTGACTAGGATAGAAGGGACACAGGCCAGGCGCATCTCCTTCCTCCTACTTCTCAGGATGTCGATTGTCCCTGTCACAGCAAAAGCCAGAGTAAAACATGGAGGAAGACAGGAAAGCCTCAAGAGGCTTGGCTGGCATTTTATTCCACATTTTACTGAGTGTGGGAATCTGTGCCTAGGTGAAGTGAAGATGGCATCCCTAAGCTCAAGCTTCCTTTTGCTCTGGGAAGAACCGAGGCACAGGGTCTCCTCTCTGGTCTTCCCTTGAGGATGTGGCAGAGTCATATTATGGTTCCCTTCTGTCTTTGTGAAAGCGATGCCTCCTGGACAATGGCTGCCCCCAGGAGTTCTTGAGGCCTCAGGAGAGGGATTTGTCAATAGTTCACATTCTGATCTACATACAATCTGAAGCCATGCTGCATCTTGTGTTTCTCTTGTACCTCATGAATCCAACAGGGGCTGGACAGGGTGAGGTGAGACAATATGGGATACCTGAGCTGGGATTTAGCCAGATGGCCATGCCCCAGGAGTGAGGTGGCTGTGTGGAGCCACATGGCCTGGTGTTCATGGACACTTGGTATCTTGGGATGTGTCTTGAGTTGTGAGTTTATACTGATCTCAGCAGTCATCTCCGGGACATCTAATTGTTCCAGACTCCAGTTGAGGATCATGGGGCCGAGTGGGCAGAATGGTCCTCTCTTACCTACAAGGAGATGTCATTTGGAAGGCAGAGCTTTGTCAAGAAGTCTTGGCCTGCTGGGCTTGCTTGGGTGGGTCCTGCCTGGGCTGTGCAGCTGGTCATGGGAAGTCAGGGCAGGGTGGAAGCAGGCATGGTGGCTCTGGCGGGGAATAGAGGTGCATTGTTTTGCATATGTTGTGCCTCATCCATTTGTTCACAGGTGCATAACCACGCATAGTCCATGTCCCTGTGTCGACTCTGCGATGTCTGCCAGTCACCCATGTCATACCCATCCAATGAAGGGAGAGGACTTTCAACCGTATAAGACTGACTTTGGCTTCTTCCTGGTCGCTCTGAATCTCCAAGACCTGGCTACCTACTTGCTTTTGGCACTTTGTCTCTCGTTCCTCGCTCCTGGCTCTGGACCCACAGAGCACTTCCTGCTCAGTCGGGGCACACTTTTGGGTTGGCTCTGTCTCTGGGTCCCATCTTCTTCATGTATTTTTTTTTCTAGCATCATTGTGGAAACTCTGTATGGTGAAGGTTTCTCCTTCGTGTTTTATTTTTTTTTAAACTCTTTATTAATTCTTTGTGAAGTTCCATCATGCACCCTAATCCCACTCATCTCCCTGCCCCTTTGTATCTGTCCTGTGCCCTTGTAGCCTTTCCCCCCCAAAAAAAGCAAATGCCAAAAAACAAAATAAGATAGAATTTTTTAAAAAGTCTTGTCATGAAAGCTGTCCTGTGTAACAGTGTATCCCAAGCATACCCTTTTGTCCACACGTCCTTACTTGCAAATGTTCATTGCAGTGAGTCATTGGTCTGTTTTGAGGCCTCTGGCTTCTGCTACTACATAACAGTGCTCATTTTAAAACTGTTTTATTTGGGGTTCCTTAAAGTCTCTCCCTTCCAACCCCCCAACCCTAAGCAGGAGAGAGAAGGTTAGTGGGGAGAGGGGCCACAGACCCCATTACTTCTCCCAGATATTTAGGGTCGGGGGTTTCTTTTAGGGCTATGCCAGTCTCTGTCAACAGCAAATGCAGCCAGCAGTCTCCTCTAAGCCGCTGTGTCCTAAAGCGAAGCATCTCTCTCTGTCTGTCTGTCCTCCAAGTCGCCACACCATCCGTCTCTGGTCTCTCCAAACTGCTAATCGCTGCCACCACTGTGCCAAACCTTCTTTTTCTGGGCTCTCCTGTTTATATCCTCAGAGCGCTAGAACATACTCCTCTCCGTGTAGCACAAGGCAGGTGCTGTTACCAGTTGTCAAAGGCCACACCCCGCAGGAGACAATTAGTAGCTGTGGACAAACTAAAGCCCAACTAGAATCCCACTGAGATTAAAACAAAAACATATTTACATAACATTAACTAACTTTACAAAGACACCAAAACTGCCCTTACAGCTACACTGTCAATACTGGATTTTCATGG